TCACTCTGACCAATTTTCTGTTAACCGCTATGGCATCACTCCTCGCCCATATTTTTTTGTTCTACCTTCTAGTGCTGCATCTCTTTCTCTCAACCCCACTTCGTATAACCCATCTACCTATTCACACAAATATATGCTCTCGTTTCCTCCAATGCCGCCTGAAAGGGTGTTGCTACAGATTTTCATCTGTAATAGCATCCACTTCACGCGTCATCCGCAAGCATGTATGTAAAGCAAGAAAATGTAGACCAAATTATGGGAGGCTCATTAATGCGGCGAAACAAATTAGGTGACATTATAGCAGACCTCCTTTCTTAGCTTAATGCTTGTGAAATTTCATAAAACATGGTTGCAAGTTGTGACTATGTGTGTCAAATGAAATAAAAAACAAAATGAAAGACACAACAATATCCTCATCTAGTTTTAACAAATGTTTCGAGGTTCATTTCGTGTCATTGGCGTTTGGGTATGGACAGAAACGATGGACTTCGAGGAAACATCAACATACATTTTAAATATTTTAATCATGAGGGCAAAAGGTGAAGGTCAAATAAAACGCCAGTATATATTTCAAGTATGGGCATAAAAAGGAGTTTATTATTATGCATTCTATATAATCGAGACCGCCAATAGATCCTTCAAGGCATAGCTTTCGGGCTTCCAACTATTTGGATGACACCATAAAGCTTGCCAAAAGGGGAATTTAAATCAGCAAAACCGACCTAAAAACATATGAACGAAAATAACTAAATTAATATCTGCGCCGTATATAATTTACTTAAGTGATTGCTATTTTAGCCAGTAAGAAAGATTGCTCCAAATGACCTTTTCGTCATCAACAAAGAAAATTTTATGAATGAGCCAAATTGAGCTCTGGCTAGCTTCGTATCATAAGCTCAAAGTTAAGGGAGAATTGTCGAGGAGCAGAAATATTAAGAATAATTTGCAAGCATGGTAAAATGGTTCTCTGCAAAAATTCAGTTATGACTTCGTACTCTTTAGATTTAATTAGGCCTAAATTGAAAAGACGAATTTGCTATAGGTTAAATATGCTGAAGAGTTATTTTATGCAGTTCTTTTAAGCTCGCTAGTTAAGCATAAAACGCATAATATTCCAGGGCATTTGCAAAAAAAAGCTTTAACAATGAACTTCTGAGACAACACAACCTTAATAAGAACAAGTCAATGAAAAGAAAATGAAAAAGATAAAATTTTCGTTTATAATTAGGTTTTCGATAATCAAATACGAAATTTTTCTTTTGTCAGAGAAGAAAAAAACATAATTTGTATTTAGCTAATAAGTTGGCACGGAGAAATAAATAAAGTAATTGGAAAGGTCTAAATAAGGATAAAATATCTACCTTTTTAGAAACACAGCGCAATTTCGATATATAAGTGGCCGCCACAAAAGGCTGTCGTCTTTGAGAAAAAGGTAAGGGCCCCATGATGCCTACTTCGTCGGGGACGCCAGAGAGGGCAGGATTATTTTGGTCCACGAAGCCGGAGTCCGATTTGGCTCCAATATTCTGTCTTCCATCTGAATAAGGAAACCATAATCAAGGAGGATTCAATTGAGGGAATTGGAGATGAGCCAAGTGGAAAGTGTGTTCGAATAAACGCTTCGTACAGATGGCGAAAAAAGCTGATTACGAGAAAGTAAGTTCATAAGTGTGTGATCAGAAGTAAAGAATTTATGTTCATATATGAATGCACTTAAGTCTGTGTGCATCTTGACTAGATGATAAATAAATTACTGGTGTCGAAAACCTAATCATTTAAGAAAAAATGAATTAATCACCTTTTCTCTCCATTAATGTCCTTCCAGACCTTATCATGCCAGATGGGCCTGGTTTGCCCCAACTAGGCTTGGCCATAACCGTGGCGATCTGTTCTAACCCAAGGGGACCGAAGTCATCACTGTCAAGAAAGTAGAGTCGGCCATCCGAGGTCAACATTCGCCATTGTTCAGCGCCATTAGCCAAAAAGGAGCCTGATAAAAAAATATGAAATACTGTAAGTTGTGAACAAGAAAACTAGGTAGATTTGATATGAACGAGGGTCAAAAGTGAGACTATAAGGTCAAGGTAAATAGATAAGTTATATAGGAAATCTAAAACAGCAAACATCCAGGGAAATGCCCCGAAAATGTATTAGCAAAAGGTGAGCAATAGTATCCAAGTCAGCTGTACAGCATCGCCCAAAGAAAGAAACATCAATAGCTAATATGAGATGTATTCACCCTATTTCGTTTAAGGCTATGTAGAACTGGCAGTAGATTTGTCCCACAATGACATGAGTATAGCATACGTTTCCATTCAATTTCACATAGCCCTGTTTTCCCAAAGGGTTTCTTAACACTCACAGTGGGACTCGAAACATAATCCATCCTGGATGAAAACATCTTTTGTGCAAGCAAAGCTATGTGAAATTGAATGGAAACGTCAGCTCTGTTCATATCATTGTGGGAAAATTCAACTACTAGTCCTTCACCACCTTAAACGAAATAGGGTGAAAATAACTCATATATCTGGAATATTAATAGTCTTTAAAACCTAATTATAAACGATCAATCGGTGATTTTAAAATATGGTCAGTAGTCGTAACTACTGAATCAGCTGGGCCTTAAAATGTAGTAAAGATGACAGCAGTAATAGCATAATTTAAAGTGGTCAGGATCATGGATAACAGAATAAAGAATCAAAACACAAGTGGTTTGCAGATATGAAGACCAGATGGTTTGACCTTTAGTTTGGTCGCAGTCTACTTTAAGTTTATAGTGTCTGTTCGACCTTGTCGAACGTACCTAGTCCTGTTTTCTCTGCCACAGTATTCGTGTGGTTTGACCTTGTTTTCACAACTTGGTCTTGTCGCCAGGACCATTTAGTTGGACACATCTTGTTCGAAGTTCTTTCCTATATTACTTAGCATCATTCCTTGCGTCGGACTGTGGACTTGGTACATTGCAAGACATTTCGCAGGCATCGTAGTCGGCATCATCACTGAGTCTTGTCATTCTCAGGACCAAGCTACGACGCGCCAGAGACAAGTGAAGCAGTCTGTACAACGGCTATGCTATCACTCTACTTTCTGTTTTGGCCCACCTATCTACTCCTAACCCTTTTATCCCACTCCCGCCCTATCACAACTTCCTCAAGAGGTGTACCCTTTGTGGCAAGTTAAGTGTGGCGTCATCATGCTTGCTGTTTGCCCTGTCCCCCACCCTTACGATTTGTTGATCCGACTTGGACCTCCTAACTTGGATCGCCCTCGTGGGCCGGTAGACTCGTTTCTTATCTTTCTAGTTTACTGATTTCACTCGGTTCAGGTCCAAGTATACGTTTCTCTTCAGGAATTATTAATCAAGCCTTCACTAGCATCTACACTGTCGCCTCACCTGCAGAGCGCCTAGGCTATGATTCCCATGCTTGCACAGGTTAGGCATTGCCTTCACGAGTCATCTTCTAGATTCGACCCGTGTATCCCGGGCAAACTGTGGACGTCTATCTCTGGTCGCCTGTCGTCCCTAGAGTGAATTTCTAGTCAATTTGTCAATATTGCCGAATTTCTTTGCAAAGAAGTATCGGAAATCAAGCGAAGGCATTCTCACTGAGTGTAGCCTGCACGAAGAAACAACTACAACTTTGGAAGCCTGGTAATCACAGGACTAGAGAGAAGGAATCACAACCATCACAGAAATTCGGTCTTAAAGCCAAATTGACTAGAAATCCATCCTAAATGCAACAGGTGATCAGAGATAGACATCTATATAAGATGAATTCGCCCTTTTTCGTTTAAGGTTATGAAGTAGGTGTGATGGAGTGGAGGAGTGGAATATAAACAAGTCCGAAATTGTGATAGGATGAGAATGAGGTAAGAAGATGGGGAGTAGATAGATGGGCCATGACAAAAAGAAGAGTGATAGCACAACTGT